GGCCAGGGATATAGTGCGAGGCACGTGCAAGATGCAGGTTCAATTCCCAGCACCACATGTCGACCCACCAGCCACCATCCAACTTCATCAGGTGTGATATGGTCTCTGGCACAAGGTCCCAGCAGCACCACATTGCTGGACACAGCATTCAACCACCTAGGAGGGTTGTCAGAGAATCAATGGATGTAGCTCCTTGCTGCCCTGATCACAGGTTGGGGCAATCCAAACACCACCACCAAGAAATAGGTACTAGGTGTAAGAAGATTTGTAATACATTTTGTGGGATGATGCCAGAATATGCCCTATGCTATTACTGTTCTGTACTTGGCTATCAAAGAAACCTTGAATGTAAAGTTTTTAATTACTTTCTCTCTAAAGAACAATCTGGACACAAAGAGCTATCACACAATGCTTTGTTCACATCTCAGAATAATGGCCAAATTCCAGAACAGTAATAAGATTTTCAAGACTGAGAGTAACCCCCCACCCCCACCCCCAATTCAGTCCTGACAGGGCCAGAGGTAATGGGATACCTGCTATGATGTGAGGAACAGACCTGTCCATTGTCAGGGGTTGAAAGCATAAGGGAATAAGCTGTGTTTAACAACCTCTCTCCTTTCATTTTAGAAGAACTGTCACTTTATTGTTTGGGTTTGTCTGTTTGTTTTTCTTTATTTTGTTGCATGCTGGTTTCATATGTCTTGTCTCTTCAGTAATATCGTAGTCTATAATCTTTCCTGGAATTCTCAACTTGAACAACTATATTTAGTTGATAGTGTCATAGTTTCTTTGCTTAATTAATAGTATATCTCAAGGTATACTTTTCAAATTTAGAATTTCAGCTCTTGGTTTCAATATATAGCTCAGTAATCCACATTTCAAATAAGAAAAAAGGCAGCTGCATTCAGCTTAGAGAGGTTTGAAATACAAATATCAGAGGTCTAAATTCAGTTACTAGGGGCTGGAGCAATAGCACAGCGGGTAGGGCGTTTGCCTCACATGCGGCCAACCCAGGTTCGATTCCCAGCATCCCATATGGTCCCCTGAGCACCGCCAGGAGTAACTCCTGAGTGCAGAGCCAGGAGTAGCCCCTGTGCATTGCTGGGTGTGACCCAAAAATCAAAAAATAAATGAATAAATAAATAAATTCAGTTACTAAGGACAAAAATCAATAATTACTTAAAGGAGCTATCTACTTTTTACACTCAAACATTTAAATTCCTAGAAATAATTAAATTAGTAACTAAAATATTACCATCTATTTCATGCATATTTTATTTAAAATTTTTAATTTGAAATTTATCTTTTTAAATTACAAAAGAAACACCTGCATCAGGTAAGAAAAGAATCAAATATAAAAACTAAAAATGAAAGGTTTTAAAAAAAAACCTTTATGATTTCGTGCATAAAGTTCCAAGAATATTAATGTACATTCATGTATGTGTGCATGTGAGTATATGGGTATGCATGCATATATAAAGTACCATTTATTTATTTATCTTAGGTTCTTCACCACTGTACTTTTATTACTTTTAGTCCATCTCTTTACTTCTCTGAAACTTCCCCCCAATAAAACTGTACTTTTAAACAAACATTTTTCATGTGTTTTCACGTGTTAAGTCTAAAGATGTATGAATGAACATAAACACAGATGTATATATATGATATATATATACCTTGTTTCTTAATAACTGCATAGCTTCTCAAACATGAACATATACTCGTTTAATAAAACAGCTCACTGCTGGTGGATATTTAAGTGAAGGTAGGCTTTGTTGCCTTTAAAACTGTGGTGATTAGCATTCTTACATGTATACTTTATACACCATTCAAGTGAAATAGAAAAGAAATATTTTAGATGCTAATCGGAGATGATATTTTTGAGTCAGTAAATGGAAGCAGCTACTTACGGTCAGCTGTGATATGAAACCAAACAGACCATGGACAATATAGTGGCTCCCAAGCTCTACAAACTATGAACACCTCTTCTTAATTTCGTTAATTGCAATTTCAGAAAAAAGTTCAGGAAATAAAGAGAGCAGAAAAAATCTGATTTGAAAGCATGGATGAGACAGATTCTTTCTCCCTGTTAGCATTCTTCAACCTGCCTTCAAAACTATCAATTTTCCTGTCACCTATCCTGACCCTCAGCCCCAAGACACAGGCTGATCCTCCAAGAACTTCAGAGAAACCCTATCACCCAGAGAGGGTCCTACAGGTCTCTGAAGGATTTGGATGGTTCTTCAGAGAAACCCTATGCAAAGATTAAGGCTCAAATTATGCAACTGCATCATCCACATAAAAGAGATACTTCTTTTTAAAATGTTCATCATGTAGAAAGTCATCATGATATTCATTTTTATAAAGGAATAAAGTAAACGAACGAAAATCTTCAAAGTACGCTACATAATGACTATTAAATATACTAATGTACATAGAACATAGTTGCATAGTTGCTTCTTTTCAAGGAACTTGAGTTGCTATGACTGAGAAAACCAGAAAAAAGTCAAGGCAATGAAGTATTATTATCTCCTCAATGCTATTCCTACTTATAAGAACAAAATGACTGACTATTTTAATGTTACTGGCAAACTTCCTCCCTCCTGTTTGCGATATCAACAGACAGATTGTTCTGAGATGTTAAGCATGGCTTCCCACATACTCTTTCACCTCAAAAAATCTCACACAAAAATAGAATATTTAAGAATGGGAAAGGCTTAGTTAATCTAGTGACGGAGACATTTTAATTACATAAAATATTTCACTCTGAGCACTCATATGTACAAATAGCTGTTATTCAATTACATTCACTGAACTGTGGTCACAACTTACATGTAATGTAAACTTTCAGTGGCATCACTCAGATCTGTTCTAACCACAAACCCACATGCAGAAAGTTCATTTTCTTACTCATAATCTCAAATTTGAAAGTTTAAATAATGCATTATTTTACATGAGCTTCTTTCTTTATAAATTTTATTTTTGGGTATTTCAAATGGACTATTAAGGTTAGCAGCTGGCCAATGAAAAATAATGCCTTTAAGTTCTTTAGATATTCAGGAAGAGTGAAAAAAGTAAACCAGCTACAAATGTCTACTTGCAGTGTTTCACACAGTCAACGAATAAAAATAATCTTAAAGAGCTGGTCTGATATTACCCTGTCAGGGTCAAGAGAACAGGGAACATATTTTATTGTAGTGGGGCAGGGGATATGGATACAGGGACACAACAAGCAGTGCTCAGGGCATACTCCTGGGACTATGCTCAGGGATTTCTTCTGATTGTGCTCAGGGGGCAGGGCCAGCTATGGACAAGTCAAGCATCTTAACCTCTCCAGCCCCAGAAACATATCAGCCTCTGGAATCATCAGTGTGACACTCTCAATTTTAATTACAAAGCACAGTAGCACTGTCCTCCTGTTGGTCATCGATTTGCTCGAGCGGGGACCAGCAACATCTCCATTGTGAGATTTGTTACTGTTTTTGACATTTCGAATACGTCACGGGGAGCTTGCCAGACTGTGCCGTGCAAGCAGGATACTCTCAAGCTTGCCGGGCTCTCCAAGAGGGGAGGAGGAATGGAACCCGGGTTAGCCTCATGCAAGGCAAATGCCCTACCGGCTGTGCTATCGCTCCAGCCAAAAAAAAAAAAAAAAAAACCCTGTAAAATATGGCATAAAGCATACACACACATACAAATATATTCCTGAATTTTATACAAGATGCCACTTATTTTTTTCTGAAGATAATCTCTCTACTCATATATGGAAGAAAACTGTACCTTGTTACTATTTCATTATTCATCATAGCACTTAAGATGCTGGGACTGGAGCAATACTATCACAGGAGGTAAGGAGCTTGCCTTGAATGTGGTCACATGCTTGATCCAAATGGCTCAACACATGCTTGATCCCCAAGTCTCTCTATGATTCTGGGAGCCCTGCGAAGAGTGATCCCTGAGCACAGAGCCAGGAGTAATTCCTGATCACTTCTGGGTGTCATCCCAAACAAAACAAAACAAAACAAGACAAAAGTATTGAATTTCCTTTAATATGTTACATCACTAGATTAGCTAGACAAAGGTATATATATAATAACAGTCATGTTTTTTTTTCTAAAATATTTTCAAGGACATTAGTCTTTGACATTTAAGTCAGCAGTGGGGAACCTTTTTGCTGTCAAGAGCCATTTGGATATTTGTATCATGCATGGGCTGTGCAATAGTGACAGATGGCCACAGGCAGTCAATGAGATGCATATCTGTCTGTCCCATCATGTACAAGGGCCAAACCAAATGATTCCACGGGCTTCTCACAGCCCATGCCAAACATTCCTCACATCTCCCTGTTTTGTTTCTGGGTCACACCCAACAGTGCTCAGGACTTAGTCCTGCTGTGCAGACCATAAGGGGTGCTGGGGACTGAATTTGGGTTGGCTGCATGCAAGGCAAGTGCCCTATCAGCTGTATTATCCCTACCTATCCCCTGCTTTTAGGGATATTTCATTTAATAAAAAGCAAAATTATTTCATTTTAATATGTCTGGGGAGAGTGGGCTATGCTCTGCAGTCTTTTGGACTTACTTCTGGTTCGGTGCTCAGAGATAACGTTTGGAAGTATTTTGGGGACAAAATGCAGTGCTAGATATTGAACTGGGGTCAGTTGCATGCAAGTACTATATAACCATGTATTGAATAACCCCTCTCTGGTCCCAGTAAAAAATATCTGAAAAATATTTAAAGGGTCTGGGAGTGTATAGAGCAAATTCCTACATGCCTGAGGAATTTCATTTCAGAGCCAACTAATTTTTTGCTCACTCAAGGTACCATTTTGTTCCTTGTTGAAAGTGTAAAATAATGTATGTCTTTAATTACAAACAAATAATAATGAGAAAGTCACGATTATGGTAAGATTAAGAATATACCTTTGAAAGAACATGATAAAATAGTTTATAATATAGCGATAAAACACAACATAAGATAAGATATAAAAGTTGAACTTACATCCATAGCTCTCTTAATAAAAGGTATCTGTGTACCACTGTCCAGGTCTTCATTTATAATGAGTCTTCTAGCCCACTGACCTGCCCTGACAACGCCACTACCATGAATCAGAACCATCAGTTTCTCTGGGTTCGTCAAAGCATCATCACTCATAAAGATGAAGCTCTTTGGTTCACTTTCAGTGGCATCCACCTATATTAAAAAAAAAAAGAAAATAGTAATAGTAAATGGTATAATAAGGTATAGACACATGTGAAACAACTAATGGTTAGTTTAAGTGAGAGAATGGCTATTAAGAAATAAAAAAGGTAAAGGCCCTCCCGTTGATCGTCGATTTGCTCGAGCGGGCCCAGTAACGTCTCCATTGGAGACTTTGTTGTTACTGTGTCTGGCATATCCAATACTCTCGGTAGCTTGCCGGGCTCTCCGAGAGGGGCAGAGGAATCGAACTCGCGTCGGCCATTTGGCCGCGTGTAAGGCGAACGCCCTACCGCTGTGCTATCGCTCCAGCCCTATTAAGAAATAGAGTAGCTTAAAATTATTCATAAAGATGCTAACATGTACATGGTAACTGAGCAAAGAAGACTAGTAATTCAAATGTAAAAGTGACAATAAGCTTTTTCCCCTACACTAAAGCCTAATTAACATTTTATTACTACAGATAAGAATAACTAATTTAGTCCTAAGTCCCAGAGACTACGCTAAATTAAAATAAAAATCTCAATCACCATTCCACATTGGTACATTCATTTGTAAATAATTGAGGGATACAGATTAAATAATTTTCCCAATATCAGCTATTAAGTCAATAATTTAGATAAGAAGCAAACTCCACCTGTAATACAGAAAATAGAATAATACAATTGTAAAGGATAACTAATGAAAATGATATTAGGAATACTACTAAATTTTTTTAAATGAGAAAACCGTTTGAAAATTTATATGGAGGGCTGGAGCAATAGCACAGTGGGTAGGGCATTTGCCTTGCACACGGCAGACCCAAGTTCAATCCCCAGCATCCCATATGGTCCCCTGAGCACCGCCAGGAGTAATTTCTGAGTTCATGAGCCAGGAGTAACCCCTGTACATCGCCAGGTATGACCCAAAAAGGAAAAAAAAAAACTGTATGAAATGCATGGCTACCTGAGCTACCTCACCTCTCCACCACCAAAGTATCTAAGTTCCCACTCCCCTCACTATCTCACCTCACCAGCTCACTCACGCACACCTGTGTACACAAGGTCACGAAAAACACATTACCGTAAATGCAGTATTTTTTTTAAAATTTACACTTCTGTATGAATAGAATTTAAAATTTCATTCAGTGTGTGAACACGGGATTCTACCATGATTATTTTAGGAAGCAACATTTATTCATGAACTCCAATAACTACAATTTACCTATTAGCTATTTAGCAGAATAAAAATTCCATTTTAATTAATTTTTATTGTATATACATATATATTTTATTTGTTTTATTGTTTGTTTTGAGGCCAACTCGGCTGTATTCAGGGCTTACTCCTGGCTTTGCACTCAGGGCTCATTCCTGATGGGCTTGGGAACTATATGCATGCTAGGTCAGCCGAATGGCCTACCCACTATACTATCACTCGGGCCCTGTATTTACACTAGTTTTGAATGAAAAAAAAATGTACAAATTATATTTGAAAAAAAAAACTTTTAGAAAGGGATAACTTCACAGTCTTTCATTATATAGGCCATGGCATAGAGCATACACTGGAGTTCCACATTGGCAGTGACCTGGGAAAGGAAAGCTTTCAGTTGTTGAATCAAAGCTAATGTCTTGATGACTGGTAATTTACATATCGTCTAGTAATACAGAAAATTTGAAACAAACATACGCACATTACACATACATGTATATGATGCACAGTTACACAAAAATAAGAAATATCCCTTCGTGAAATCTGAATGACAGTTGAGCAGGGTAAAGGACTTTAGATTGAAGGTTTTCTTCATTCAGTATTTTAAACATATCTTTCCATTCCTTTTTTTGGGGGGGGGGGGGGGGAAGGGCACTCCCAACAGTGCTCAGAACTAACTTGCAGCTATCACTTGTGATAGGGATCAGGGGACCATGTGGGTTGCCAGGAATCAAACCCAGGAAGGCTGCATACAAGGCACATGTCCTCTCCAGCCCACGGTACTCTCCAGCCCATCCATTCCCTTCTTGCCTGCAGGGTTTCATGTGAGGAAGCGCTAGTGAATTCTATGCTGTGCCCTTTGTATTTGAGGTTTTGCTTCTCTCTTGTGACTTTAAGTAATTTGTTTCTCTCTTTGGTTCTTACCATTTTGAAGACAATGTGCCTTGGTGATGGTGTTTATTTATTTAAATCTTTTTACACCTTGTGGATTACCTGGATCTGACTTGCCTTCTCTCCAGTCAAACAAGGAATGAAGACATTTGTTGCACTGAATCCTACTCAGAGGAATACTGAATGGCCTCCTGGAGAATGCTACGACCCCAAACCAGAGATACCTCAAAGGTCAAAAGCACGCACTCTGAATGGAGAAGGCCAGAATTCAGTCTTCTGCATAGCAGGGGCCCTCAAAGCACCACTGGGGCAGACCCCAGATAGTGGGAGCTAAGCACCACTAGGAGTGATCCAAATGCAGCAAAAATAAATTCTCAGAAGTCTTCTCATCTCAGAAGTCTATATACCAAAGGCTGTTTCAACTTCACCCTGCTGTTTTCTGGTATAGGGAAAGCAACAGAGTTTTCTCAAATGATGGCTGCCATTTGGGTGTCTAGTGATGATGAATGTGGACACAACCCATCTCACCATCAGGATGACATCAGTACCCCATGATAAATATTTCTGTCTCATATAAACTAAAAAAAAAATATTGTCAATATACACAAATAGGTATACATGAGTGAATGTGACAGATGGGTATATGCATGCATATAAACAAACTGTTAAATCTGATGTTGGAATACATAAGACCATGCATAAAAAATTTAAATATACTAAGCCTATTAAAAGAGTGAAAAAGTAAAAAGGTAGTAACAACCATATTAATCTTTGGGTCCCAGACCTTACTGAATCACTTATTTATACAAGGTTATTTGGTACATTCTAGTCTGAGTAAAAATACTTACAGTTAGTGGCAATTTTAATTCTACCTTGGTACCTTTATTCTTAAATGAATGCATTGAATATTGCTTTTATTATAATAGTTGAATTTTTTTTATTCATAGTTGTTTTTCATCAGCACTGTAACACTGTAGCACTGTCCTCCTGTTGTTCATCAATTTGCTCCAGCAGGCCCAGTGATGTCTCCATTGTGAGACCTGTTGTTACTATTTTAGGCATATCAAATACCTCACAGGTAGCTTGCCAGGCTTTCCGGGCTCTCCAAGAGGGGCAGAGGAACCAAATCCTGCTCAGCTGAGCTGGCCGCATGCAAGGCAAACACCCTACAGCTGTGCTAAAGTGGCAAGGTACTTGCCTTGAACGCAGCCGACCAGGGATGACCCCATTCAAGTCCTCCTCACCTCTCAGAGAGCCCAGCAAGCTAACGAAAGTACGGCGCCCACACGGCAAAGCCTGGCTTTTCATCAGATCGAACATTATTCATTCTTCATAAATTGTTAAGTTTGGGCTGGAGCGATAGCACAGCGGGGAGGGCATTTGCCTTGCATGCAGCCAACCCCGGTTCAATTCCCAGCATTCCCTATGGTCCCCCCAGCACCGCCAGGAGTATTTCCTGAGTGCAGAACTAGGAGTAACCCCTGTGCATTGCCGGGTGTGACCCAAAAAGCAATAAATAAATAAATAAATAAATAGATGTGAGGGCGATCTGGCTGTGACATCTGTCACCCCATTGATCACCAGGGTTGATTCGGCTGATCTGGCTGGCTAGGCGGGTGTCCCCTTTCTCCCTCACCACTCCATGTGCGTCCCTCCCACAGCTGCGCGCTTGGTCAAAGAGGACGGCCTTCCCTGAATAGAGACAGACCGGTCTTTGGTTGAGGGTATACGAGTAGCTGCACTCCCCTGCTAGAACCTCCAAACAAGCTCTCAAGTAAATAAATAAATAAATAAATAAATAAATAAGTTCTTAAGTTTGCAGCCTTAGTTAAATCCTCTAAAAGGATCTTTTTTTGCAATCATGAGAACATAAAATTATTCTATCAGAAATGAATGATGTGGACAGACACTGCACATTACTACAGGGAGACTCGTTTTGTCTTGAGTTATATATACAGAGATGGGTTTGCACTGAAAGTTCAAAAGCAGTAAGATATAATTTTCTTTTTTTATATTGTTTTTATGATTTTTAAACGTATTACTTCCATACTTTATACTGGCATCAAAAATAAACTACAGGGGCCAGGGGATAATACAGTGGGTAGGGTATTTTCTTTACACATGTCCAACCTGAGTTCAATCCCCAGCATCCCATATGGTCCCCAAAGCACCGCCGGGAGTAATTCCTGAGAACAGAGCCAGGAGTAATCCCTGAGCATCGCTGGGTAGAACCCAAAAAGCAAAAATAATAAATAAATAAATAAATAAATTACAATATACACAAAAGTAATTAAACACTCTGCCCCAAATATCCACCCATGATGTATTGGATATAAAAATAAAAGTATTCGAGGAAGAGAAAAAATGTTTTTTAGGTTTGGTACTTCTAAAAGAGTTAGTTTGCTGCAGTATGAATGCTTAACCATATTTGTAAGCAGCACAAAGGACAATCACTTTAGCAAGAAAAACAGTAAATAACAGTAAAAAGGACTTAAAGATCAGTATCTCTGTGGAGAAGGCATTCCTAATGGCCCACCTCTGAAAATTACCTAATTCCCTTTTCTCCTTTTTGTAATGACATAGCACATCTCAGGATCTAATTAATATACTGCATGCTCTACTTTATTTGTTTGCATTTCTTTGTAGTTACAGAAAAAAATACTTTACAGCTGTCAAAAATATACAATGAGAATTGAGGGAGATAAATTACTCTTTTTCTGTTTTTATTTCTTATCGATAAAACTAGAAACTCTTTACCAATCATAAAGGGACATGACACATAGGTCTCATGATATGAAGTTCTCATGTTTAGTAGGTTTTATAACCTAAATTTTAATAATAATATTATAACCCCTATAAAACAAAGTACTCCTAATATCCATCTCAGTGTTTCTAGAAAGAAAATTAATAAAACT